TTGGACATGCCTCAAACATTTTTCTAAAATAGCTAGCTAATCTCTCTAAACAGTGAACACTTGAAAATAATACTTATATACTCAATTAGACATTGAGAAGACAGATAAGAAGAGAGAAATTCAGCACCAGGTCTCATGCCTACTTTTTAAAGACAATAATTCTATATGAAAATCAGAGAAAACTTTATACATTTTTTTTTTAAAATTAGTAAAGGTGCTTCAGCAATAAAGTCTTATCTAGTTAGTTAATTGTATTAATGGTATTAATTATTGTATTAATGGTATTATCTTATATGTTTTGAGAGATAAAGTGTGTTAAGTTTTACTTTGAGCCAAGTCACTTAAATAATTTTAATATATCAGATGAACTATATATATTAGTCTAACACATTTTAGGAGAATTTAAACAGGGCTTTGGAAAATACTTGAGCAGTTGTAATTTATTATACTTAAATATTATTTTGGGGTATTTATTTTATTTGAGTGTTATTGAAATTAATACTTGTACTCTTACCTAATTACACTTCCATGGGAAAAAAAACAAACTTTTTTACTCCTTACATTTATTTTTACTTTCATTTCAATATTTAACTAATTTAGCATGTTGTTACTTTTCACATGAAAGCATGACTAACTTAATTAAAAAATATTTATTCTTTAATTTTTAATACTTACATCCATCAACGTTTTGTCTTTCACTTGGGAAGATTTTTGGCTGGATATATCTATTTTTAATTGACTAGGTTTTTGACTCATTATCTATACTTTCATCCAGGTGTGCAACCTATTGACATTTTGCAACAATATGCTGCTATTGGTGGGTGAAACTAATTTATTTGTCCAGGGCGCTTATGCTGTTGTTTTGTAAGGACTAAAAAAACTTGGTGGTGTGTTCTTATAGGAAAATAATCAACGATGATTATTATCCTATAACGGCGCATACCTATACGACAGCAATTTGCCAATGATTGTAATGATTTCTTTATTAAAGTGCGACACGCTCTACTTTTTATCTGTTTATAGTTATGTTTAATGGAGCATCCACAAAACAAGTTCATGCCTGTTATCACTTCGAACATCCTAGCAGCTATAAACAGTCATTCCCTCACCAGCCTCTCTCTTTTCTCTCTCTGGAAGTTAATAAGACAATAACTGCAGCTTGTCATGTTACCGAGAAACCACAAAGCGTAAAGTTCTCTGTCCTGAAGGCTTTCATCTATCTGAAAACGTAAAGCTACAGCTTTACCTCTGATGGTTACGAAGCTCTGACACTGGAGACTCCTTCCAAAAATGTTAAATAAATGTCATAAATGATTAGACGAGTGCTGTGCGAGCACAAAAATCTTAGCGATGTTGCAATATGCTCAGGTTTGCAAATGGTTGATCAGATTTAACTTAAGCTCCGCCTTTGTTGACTCTCAGGCACAAGGGATTTTATCACTCAGGCTGTGCGTGTTGCCAGATGTTAAGGGAAAAACCCTCAGAAAGCGCTCCGTGTTAGGCCGGTAGACACTGTAGGTGTTAAATTAACACTGATGCTGTTACTGTGAACTTGATGATCACTGCAGCGGGAAGCGGAGAGTCTTTGTTAACCTGTGTTAGTGAACATAGGGAGTGTGTTATCCCTCGAGGATGGTCTAATCCTGTATTAAAACCTTTCCCATAGTGCACAGCTAAAGAAATAGAGAGAGACAGATATTCGTAGAGAGGGAGAGAGAGACAGACTGGTGTAAAGATAGAAAGCAAGAGCAAGATGCTCAGAGATAAAGATAGATATATAAAAAGAAGGAGAGTTATAAGGGAGAGATGGAGGAGGGTTTGTGTAGTTTTTGAATCCTGCTGATATGTTACTTTATCTTTCTCCATTGGAGTTGTGTAGAGTGGTTGATAATCCCTTTCTCATCCTCTCCAGCCGTGGTTAATCTCTCCTGCACTGCAGTCGGTTCACCAGAAACCCTGTGGAATATCAGAGACTGGCATCGGATTTTAAATCACAGCTGAACACAACAGACACACGGCACAGAGTTACTTTATTAGATTGACTGTTAATACAGTACCATGTGGAGAAGCCAGGAGCTGAAGCATATGTCAATGATGAGTGATATGTAGCACTCTGTATGCTGTGCAGAAGTCATTTAGGCCACAAAACAAGTCTGTGAATTTGCATGCAAGCTCATTACAAGATTAAAATCAAGGTTGAGATATACACTTGACTGTGGTTTTAATAATAATAATAATAGGCCCTTTCAGCATATTCTTTTCACACCTAACCCAGTGTGACTCAAAAACATTGCATACCTGCACTTCACAAAGCTGCATCAGACACTTTTTATTTATAGAACCTGTTTTACTGCCAATATTGCTGCTACACATATTCCTGCTACACTACACAATAGTATATAGTCCGTGTTCTGTATATTTATTGTCCTGTGTATTTATTATTTTATGTATTTATTGTTCTGCGTATACTGACCTGTGTATTTATTGTCCTGTGTATTTATTGGTCTGCGTATACTGACCTGTGTATTTATTGTCCTGTGTATTTATTGTTCTGTGTATTTATTGTTCTGCGTATACTGACCTGTGTATTTATTG